ATTGATGATTTTATTTCCGACAGTAATTCCTGTTGTTGTTGTTTTTTAATTTAAAAAAAAGTTTTTTTTATTTTATTTTATTTTATTTTATCGAATCGCCACCATTTATAAACGGAAATTAAAAAAAAAAAAAAAAAATCACGTGATTTTTCCCGATTCGGTTTTTTGAAATTCAAGTGGCGGAAATTCCAAATGAAAAACTTTTTGAGAACAAAGTTTTTTATTTTATTTTATCTCTCTCTCTCTCTCACTTTGTATTGTTGTCTTCTTTTTTCCTATTGACGAAAAATTGAATCCTTTGATTCGTATAAAACAAAGGTTGGGGAGTTGGAATACGAAAGGGATTATTTTTGATTTGGTTTAACTCATCGTAGAAAATTCTAGAATTTTGACCTGTCTGAAACGAATCGATAAAATCAATATTCAATCGAAAAATGGCTGTCGTCTGTTTGTTGTTGTTGTTGTTGTTTAAATTTTTACCCGTGAAAAATTTTCTTTTTTTTTTTCGAAAAAGAAAAATGTCACCACCCTTAAACTCGGTTTTGTTTTGTATTGTTAATTTTACCGGGGAGAATGAGGGGAAGGGGGCTAATTGTTTTTGTTTATATTTACAAAAAAGGTTTTATTTTTACGTAGTGATAATAATAATAATAATAATAACAACCATTATTAGTGTATTAAAGTGAAATTTTGTTGTTTTTTAACCTTTAGTACATACAAATATTTTGTTTATAATAAGATTAAAGCGATTATTATATTTAAAAAATTAATCTGACTCCTCCGGATTTCCCACCCCTTCTTTCCTTCCACCCCCTTCCACCTTTAAAATAAAGGAAAAAAAAAGAAATGAGTGTATTGAATAATGAAAAACAAAAAAATTTTTTTATAAGATAACAAGTGTAGTAATAAATAAAATAGGAAATTGGGGGCAAAGAGATCGAAGAAGGGAAGAAAACAACAAGAGAGAAAATATGCGGGGGTAGGAAAAATAAGGAGAGTATGAGAGAGAGAGAGAGAGATGAAAAAGGGAGATGATATTGATATAGGAAAAAAATAAGGGGATGGTTTTTAAAGGAGGGTAATTTCATGTCTCGTTGCCCACGTTATAATCCATGACCACCGGTGGCGCAAAAATGACATACT